CGCCAGCTTTACAGCAGCAGACTTAATTCCAGACTCTGCAGACTGGCTTACTATCAGCCTGCCTGTTATCACATAAAATGTTTTATGCAGATTATCTCAATGAAACCTCACCACAGCCAGGAGGAAGCAAGATTATTTTATTACTTGCCATAGTTTAGCACGGCAGGTTAAGTAGTGGTAAACAGCATATACTTACTACAGAACCAAGTTTCCTCAGTCTGTCTTCTGGTTCTTACTGATTCTGTTAGCATCTATTTGGGGAAATTAGCTTAAACTCTGTCTGTAACCCACTTCACTTATAAACTGGGAGTGATGAGAGTGCTCACATTTTCAGCTTTCCAAGAGTATAAAGAGCTTCAAACAGGGCCTGGCTCAGGAAATTGCTAGGCAAGTGTATGATAAATAAAGGAGGAAACTAAGTAACTTGTGTAAATTCACAAAAGTGATATGTGGTGGAGCTGGGACTTAAATCCAGAGATATCTGACTCTACAGGTGAGGGACCTCAGGGACTTCACCTGTGAGGGCACTAGGAAAGCAGATAAATAAAGAATCCTAAGAATCCTCTTTATTTCTATCTTATCCTATAATGGCTACCATTTCAATGAAAATCATGAAACAACTAAAAGTCATTTCAGAATCTCCTTTGCATAAAGCCTGTTGAAGCCTGTTGCAATGTTAGCTGTGCACTTAAAATATTTAACTTTGCATTACTGAATCCACCTCCATCTTACTTAAATATGATTTTGTATTCTCTGGCTTCTGAGGAATTCACAATAATGGACCCTAGGCAGAGATTTTAGGTTAGAGTGTAAAGAATCGTATTAAGCTTATGTATATCAGTAATGCCTTTTCCAAAATAAGAAATATGCTTTCAATTTATATCATAAAATGAGATTTAAAAAAAAGTTAAAGGTTTTTCTTGATGCACTTCCTTAAACTAGTATTTAAAAAGATAAAAATAGCTTTTTTCTGTTAAGAAGGAATGGCTGCTTTATGAGTGTTTTCTTCTTAACTTGACATGAAGCAAATTTAAGCAATATATAGCTAGATCTGTTCAGTCTCAACCAATATATGAGAGAGTAAATTTTCATTAAAAACCTTTACCTGTGCCAAATCAAGTCTTATTAGGTGCTATAAGATCTGTTATCCCATGACTCCGAGTCCCTGGAATGCATCCCAGTTTAGTCTGTCTAGTAGAGTTACTTTCTCTGCATTTCATATGCATAGACATACGCCTGGTAGACAGAGACACCATGTGAATTTGAAAGCAGGCATTTTCAAGTAAAAGCCATGACTGACAGTTCTAAATGAGAGTAAAATCTCCTGTGTTCCTTTTCACAAAACTGCAAAGCTGTAAGAACCACGCGGGTGTCTTTTGGTACATTTTCTTGGATCAGCCTTTTTCTCACTGTTACTAGTCTCTCCAAGTTCAAAGGGGCCATGTCCAGTTTGTTTTACAGCTCAGAAAATATAAGAATTATATTGTGAAGGGATGTAATATGTATAATAGTAGGGAAATAAAGCAAAGATTTTGAAGTCAAGCCCCTGTGGGTTTGAATAGTTCCTCAGCCACTAGCTAACTATAGGAATTTAATCAAGTTATTTAAGCTCCCCAACAGATTGAGAAGAAACAATCTGGAGATATGGAGACCTCTCAACAGGCTACTGCACTGGTTCAGACAAGAGGTTCTCATTAGAATGGAGATACTAAGATGAAGGGGGAAAATCTTCTTAGGATTTGACCTTTAGGAGACAAATATTCTGATTGGCTCTGGTAGCAAGGACTCAAAACCCTTTTCGCCTAATTTCTCTGATGAAAATCCACTGATGATAGAGCACTGATTTGGTACTTTTGATGAAGAGATAAAGCTATAAAAAGACATATCGACAAATGGCACAAAAGGTAGCATTTATCGTCTTCATTCAGTATCAGCAGATAGTTTTTGAGCATCCGCTTATTTCAAATACAGTGTTAGGCCTTCAATTTGGGGCTAGGTATACACAATAAAACATCACCAGCTCAAAGACATACAAAGAAATGCTGTCCATGTTTATCTGGACCTTTTGTTTCAAAGAACAAGAAAACTCAGATTTAAAAAAATTACATTTATTGATGAAATAACTGAAAAGTCTAGGATTTCAGAAATGGATGGATCTTGGTGCTTAAATGATTGCAAAGAATGTGGGTTTTTCTGTCTTTTGTCCTGACTTCTTCTGTACTGGTTTCATTCTCAGAAAGGTACTCTTCTCATGGCGGTAACATGGCAAACAGGAGCTTCAGGCTGTTGTCTCTACTATTTGAGAAGTTGCGGTGGGAAAAAAATTACTTCAATTTCTCAGAATTTCCAGCAAATATTGCTGATAGAGTTATTGACCTAGTTTAGGTCATATATCTCTATGTCTCTTCTTGAGCTAATTACTTTGCACTAGGCTTGACCCTAATGAACCTTTTAGACTAGAATAGAGGATAGTTGCTCCAAAAAAGATGATTGAATCATTATTACTAGAATCAAGGAAGAATCACTTGAGTGATCAAAAATAACATATGTCAACTGTACTATCTAATTGAGTTAAGCAAGAACTCTTTTTATTGCAAATGACAGAAATTCATTCCAGCTTAAACCAAATGAAATTTAATATAAAAAGCTCATGGAACCCAAAAGCAAGGAGTGCCGTAAGCCTCATAAGGAACTGAAATGAGAAAATGAAAACTAATTGGTAATCTCTCTCTCTCTCTCTCATCTGTAGTTAGGATATTTCTTTGTCTTCAGTCAAATATCCCTACTTCTCAATGCACATGATTACTCAACAATTCTCAGTTTTAGCCACTCAGAAGAGATCAAAATTAGTTTCTTTCACTCTTAATTCAAGATTTGTGGAAAAAATATTCTTGTTAGTGAAACTTGTGTCTAGTGGATCACACTTTTGTCCAACTAAGTGTGACATAGAGACTAGATAGAGATTAGGTTAAACCAACTGCTTGGTTTGGGGGTAATTATTGGAAAAAGAAGCCTATTGTAATGTTGACAAAATACCAAAAGCACTCCACTGCAACGTCACAACCAATCTTACTGACAGAAGACCTTGTTCCTGCCATACAATCCGTCTTTATCTTCTGGACTTCAGTAAATCTGCAAATGTATAGAAACTACGTCTTTAAACAGTGTCCACACAGCAATATGAAAAATGGCAAGTCAGTCTCCAATAATGAAATCTTGTATCAAAATCAGGCTACATGATTGTCACCCTGGCCATGTCTGTAAAGAAGCTAGAAAACAAACTGGCGGCAAGTTGCAAGTTGTGGGAAAGAAATTAATCCATTCTAAAGAACATTTATCCATTTCTTAAGAATTTCCAAACATGTTGTTGGAAGTTAAGGCAGCAGATTTATACACAGAGTCACTTTCCCTCAAAGGCTGTCAGACTAGTTAAGGAGACAGAGAAGTAAATCAGATTGAACAAGAGCAATGATAAGTGATAAATGGGGTATGCTCAGGATGCTCCGAAATTGCAGAGAAGAAAACATCCTGCCTCAAGGGGTACATTAGTTTACTAGGGCTGCCATACAAAATACTCACAGACTGGGTGACTTAGAAATTTATATTCCCACAGTCCTGGAGGCGAAAAGTCTAAAATCAACATGTTAGCAGGCTTAGTTTTGTTTGTGGCTTCTCTCTTTGGCTGGCAGGTGAACACCTTCTTTCTGTGTCCTGTGCCTGCACATCCCTTGTCTTTCTCTGTATGCTCAACTTTCCTTTTCTTATAAGGATACGAGTCAAATTGGATTAAGGCCCACCCCAAAGACCTAATTTAACCTAATGACTTATTTAAAAGCCCTATCTGCAAGTACAATCACATTCTAAGATACTAGGAGTTAGGGCTTCAACACACATATGGGGTGGGGGGTGCACAATCCAACCATAACAAAAGACATTTTCCAGTGTAGTGATGCTTGACCCAGCCTTAAGGAGAGGGTGTAACCCTGTGGATAAAACAGCAGAAACAAAGGTATAAATGCAACAGCGAGTATTGCTTATCTATGGAACTTTAAATAGTCTGTACGGCTGGAGCTTAGGATACATATGAAGAATTGAAAATTAGTAAAACATTAAGTTGGAAAGGTAACTAAAGATTGAATTATAAAAGGTTTTGTATTGAGATGAGCTAAACTATGGTAGGAAAAACGCCTCAAGACATAATAGCACAAACACGATAAAAGTTTTTCTCTCTCAAGGAATAGTTCAGGGCTGGTGCTACAGGTTCATTAGCAATTCTCTTTCACAGAGTCCACAGAATCCACAGAGTGATTCCTGGATCAGACTGTGTTCATCTTAAGGCTCTCATCTGTGTGATCATGCCTGGGTGGCTGTGCCCAAGACTTTGACTTTAAGGTCTGAACCAGTAAGTGGCACAGTTCACTCCTGTTGTCCTGCCATTGATGAGAACTATTCTCATGACCTCTCCTGGTTGCTAGGTTATGGGGACTATAATATCATAAGGGAGTTGGCTGGATAACCCCTTCCCAGCTGTAATTCTATTATTATAAAAAGACAGAAAAAGGCATTTTGTACATAGGAGCTGTTGTCATCATAGTCTTGTAAATCATAGTAAGGAATTTGGGTTCATATAGATTTGAGGATTTTTAAGCAAGAACATCGTGATTAAATTTTAATTTTAAAATGTAATAGTAGTAGCATTATAAAGAAAGAACTTATGAGGCAGTGTCAGAAGCACAGACGTAATATTGAGGAAGTTGTTTTGGTAATTCTGGCGAGTCATTCTGAATTAGGACAGTGCTAGTAGGAGTGGAGAAGACGGAACAGATTCCAGTGATATTTTAGAAACAGACTCATCATGACTCCCGAACTGATTTCTTATGAAAGGGGAAGAAGAGGAAAATTCTAGTAACTCTTAAATTTCTGGCATGGATGAATGATGAGATTTTGATAACATTAAATGCGGAGAAGAGGTCTTGGGAAAGTCTCAGTTAAAAACTTACTGAGGTTTGAGATGTCTGTGGAATATCAAAGCAGAGGCATCCGGTAAGTCATACACATAAGGCATATTTTCAGCGGCTGAAAAAATACATTTCATGGTTATTGTAATAGTGATAAAATGTCATTGAAATCACATGGGGATGAAATCAACTGTAGTTATCATAGATTTATACAATGACAAAAGATTGGTGATTTCCAATTTTCATTTTATGCCCTAACAAAAAAGGTCTTAGGCAAAATAGAAGAGTTAAAATAATACCAATTTATGAAAGCAGTGGCTTAGCTGTTTTATAAGTATTCAGTGGCAAAAAAACACACACACACAAATTTACCCTTAAAATTCAGAGATTCAAATTCTATAAAAAGATAATCATGAACAGAAAATCATTACAAGTTAGAGGAGTTTTTGAACTTGACAACTCTTTATATATGAGTATTGCATTAGATATGTACTGTCATTGAAGTAGACATTTAATTAATAACTCTAGGCTCTCGCAAGTATCTATTAAGTATGTGGAAAAAACAAGAGGCAGCCAATTTTATTCTTCCATCTGTCTTGCTGGCAAATAACTAGCTCCCTTCTGGAAATTCTGAATCATTTATATTTACATTTTTATTAACCTGCTCATTGGAGGATAGGCTCAAGGTAATTACTACTAGATTAAAGATGATCATGTGACCACGAGCTAGAAATATGAGTCAAGGACCCAAATGCAAGATCCTGTAACATGACTTAAGAAAATGCCAAACAAACAAGTAATGCCCAGATCATATGGTTTGGCCATACCCCCCTCAAATCTCTACTTAAATTGTATCTCCCAGAATACCCACGTGTTGTGGGAGGGACCCAAGGGGAGGTAATTGAATCATGGGCAAGTCTTTCCCATCCTATTCTCACGATAGTGAATAAATCTCACAAGATCTGATGGGTTTATCAGTGGCTTCTGCCTTTGCTTCTTCCTAATTTCACTCTTGCCACAGCTATGTAACAAGTGCATTTTGCCTCCTGCCATGATTCCGAGGCCTCCCCAGCCATGTGGAACTGTAAGTCCAATTAAACTTCTTTTTCTTCCCAGTCTTGGGTATGTCCTTATCAGCAGCATAAAAACAGACTAATACAATAAATTAGTACCAGTAGAGTGGAGCATTGCTGAGAAGATACTCAAAAATGTAGAAGCAACTTTGTAACTGGGTAACAGGCAGAGATTGGAAGAGTTTGGAGGACTAAGAAGAAGATAGAAAAATGTGGGCAAGTTGGGAACTTCCTAGAGACTTGTTGTATGGCTTTACCCAAAATGCTGAAAGTGATATGGAAAATAAGGTCCAGGCTGAGGTGGTCTCAGGTGGAGGTGAGAAACTTGCGGGGAACTGGAGTAAAGGTGATTCTTCCTGTGTTTTAGCAAAGAAACTGGTGGCATTTTGCTCCTGCCCTAGAGATTTGTGAAACTTTGCACTTGAGAAAGGTGACTTAGGGTATCTCGCAGAAGAAATTTCTAAGCATCAAAGCACTCAAGAGGTGACTTAGCTACTGTTGAAGGCATTCAGTTATATAAGAAAAGCAGAGCATAAAAGTTTGGAAAATTTACAGCCTGACTATGCTGTAGAAAAGAAAAACCTGGCCAGGGATGGTGGCTCTCACCTGTAATCCCAGCACTTTGGGAGGCCAAGGTGGGTGGATCGTGAGGTGAAGAGATCGAGACCATCCTGACCAACATGGTGAAACCCTGTCTCTACTAAAAATATAAAAAAAAAAAAAAAAACAGCTGGGCATGGTGGTGTGCACCTGTAGTCCCAGCTACTTGGGAGGCTGAGGAGGAAGAATCGCTTGAACCCAGGAGGCGGAGGTTGCAGTGAGCCAAGATTGCACCACTGCACTCCAGCCTGGTGACAGAGCAAGACTGTGTCTCAAAAAGAAATTTGGACCCATTTTCTGGGAAGAAATTCAAGTCAGCTGCAGAAATTCACTTAAGTAGCAAGGAGCTGAAAGTTAATTCCCAAGACAATGGAGAAAATGTCTCCAGGCCAAGTCATAGACCATCATGGCAGCTCCTCCCATCACAGGCCCAGAGGCCCAGGAGGAAAAGGCGGTTTCACGGCCAGGCCCAGGGTCCCTGTGCTGTGTGCAGCCTAGGGACTTGGTGTCCTGTGTCACAGCCATTCCAACCGTGGCTAAAAGGGGCCAGCATACAGCTCAGGCTGTAGCTTTAGAGGGTGGAAGCCCCAAGCCTTAGCAGCTTCCATGTGGTGTTGAGCCTGAGGTGCACAGAAGTCAAAAATTGAGGTTTGGGAACTTCCGTCTAGATTTCAGAAGATGTATGGAAATGCCCAGGCAAAAGTTCCTGCAGGGGTGGAGCCCTGATGGAGTACCTGTGCTAGGGAAGCACAGAATGGAAATGTGGGGTCAGAGCCCCCACACAGAGTCCCTGCTGGGGCACTGCCAAGGGGAGCTGTGAGAAGAGGGCTACCTTCCTCCAGACCCCAGAATGGTAGATCCAACAACAGTGGATCTACCATTCTGCTCCTCTACCGTGCTCCTGGAAAAGCTGCAGACACTCAACACCAGCCTGTGAAAGCAGCCAGGAGGGAGGCTGTACCTTGCGAAGCCATAGGGGTGGAGCTGCCCAAGACCATGGGAACCCACCTTTTACATCAGCCTGATCTGGACGTGAGACCTGAGATCAAAGATCATTTTGGAACTTTAAAATTTGACTGCTCTGCTGGAGTTTGGACTTTCATGGGCCCTGTAACCCCTTTGCTTTGGCCAATTTCTCTCATTTGGAATGGCTGTATTTACCCAATACCTGTACACCTATTGTACCTAGGAAGTAACTGTCTCACTTTTGATTTTACAGGCTTATGGGGGAAAGTACTTGTCTTGTCTCAGATGAGACTTTGCACTGTGGACTTTTGGGTTAATGCTGAAATGAGTTAAGACTTTGGGGTACTATTGGGAAGGCATTGTTGCTTTTGAAATGTGAGTACATGAGATTTGGAGAGGCCAAGGGTGGAATAGTATGATTTGGCTATGTCCCCACCCAAAATCTCAACTTGAATCATATCTCCCAGAATTTCCACATGTTGTGGGGGAGACCTGATGGGAGGTAATTGAATCATGGGGGCTAATTTTTCCTGTGCTATTTTTATAATAGTGAAGAAATCTTACAAGATAATGGGTTTATTAGGGATTTCTGCTTTTGTTTCTTCCTCATTTTTCTCTTACTGCCACCATGTAAGAAGTGCCTTTCACCTTCTATCATGATTCTGAGGTCTCCGCAGCCATGTGCAACTGTAAATCCAATTACACTACATTTTCTTCCCAGTCTCAGGTATGTCTTTATCAGTGGTATGAAAACAGACTAATATACCAGATATTTTAAAAATTTTGAAATTTCTTTTTTTCTAAATTGCATTTTAGGTTTTGGGGTACATGTACAGAACATGCAAGATAGTTGCATAGGTACATACATGGCAGTGTGATTTGCTGCCTTCCTCCCCTTCACCCATATCTGGCATTTCTCCCCATGCTATCCCTCCCCAGCTCCCCCCCCCACTGTCCCTCCCCTACTTCCCCCAATAGACCCAGTGTGTAGTGCTCCCCTCCCTGTGTCCATGAGTTCTCATTGTTCATCACCCACCTGTGAGTGAGAATATGCGGTATTTCATTTTCTGTTCTTGTGTCAGTTTGCTGAGAATGATGTTCTCCAGATTCATCCATGTCCCTACAAAGGACACGAACTCATCGTTTTTGATGGCTGCATAATATTCCATGGTGTATATGTGCCACATTTTTCCTGTCCAGTCTATCATTGATGGGCATTTGGGTTGGTTCCAGGTCTTTGCTATTGTAAACAGTGCTGCAATGAACATTCGTGTGCATGTGTCCTTATAGTAGAACGATTTATAGTCCTTTGGATATATACCCAGTAATGGGATTGCTGGGTCAAATGGAATTTCTATTTCTAGGTCTTTGAGGAATCGCCACACTGTCTTCCACAATGGTTGAACTAATTTACACTCCCACCAGCAGTGTAAAAGTGTTGCTATTTCTCCACATCCTCTCCAGCATCTACTGTCTCCAGATTTTTTAATGATCGTCATTCTAACTGGCATGAGATGGTATCTCAATGTAGTTTTAATTTGCATTTCTCTAATGACCAGTGATGATGAGCATTTTTTCATATGTTTGTTGGCCTCATGTATGTCTTCCTTTGTAAAGGGTCTGTTCATATCCTTTGCATATTTGAATGGGCTTGTTTGTTTAAAGTGTCTGTTCATATCTTTTGCCCATATTTGAATGGGCTTGTTTGTTTTTTTCTTGTAAATCTGTTTTAGTTCTTTGTAAATTCTGGATATCAGCCCTTTGTCAGATGGGTAAACTGCAAAAATTTCTTCCATTGTGTTGGTTGCCGATTCACTCTAGTGACGGTTTCTTTTGCTGTGCAGAAGCCGTGGAGTTTGATTAGGTCCCATTTGTCTATTTTGGCTTTTGCTGCCAATGCTTTTGGTATTTTGGTCATGAAGTCCTTGCCTACTCCTATGTCCTGAATGGTTTTGCCTAGATTTTCTTCTAGGATATTTATGGTGCCAGGTCTTATGTTTGAGTCTTTAATCCATCTGGAGTTAATTTTAGTATAAGGTGTCAGGAAGGGGTCCAGTTTCTGCTTTCTGCACATGGCTAGCCAGTTTTCCCAACACCATTTATTAAACAGGGAATCCTTTCCCCATTGCTTGTTTTTGTCAGGTTTATCAAGGATTATATGGTTGTAGATATGTTGTGTTGCCTCCAATGCCTCTGTTCTGTTCCATTGGTCTATATCTCTGTTTTGGTACCAGTAACATGCTGTTTTAATTACTGTAGCCTTGTAGTATAGTTTGAAGTCTGGTAGTGTGATGCCTCCTGCTGTGTTCTTTTTGCTTAGGATTGACTTCACTATGTGGGCTCTCTTTTGGTTCCATATGAAGTTCAAGGTGGTTTTTTCCAGTTCTGTGAAGAAAGTCAATGGTAGCTTGATGGGGATAGCGTTGAGTCTGTAAGTTACTTTGGGCAGTATGGCCATTTTCACGATATTGATTCTTTCTAA